GCCGTGAGGAGCGGGAGGCGCAGGTGAGCCCCGCGGCGGCTGCGCGCGCTCCTAGGTTTCTCCTCGCTCGGCAAATTGCCTCCGCTCCTGAACGCAAGCGGGTTCGGAGCCTGATTCGCGAAGACCAGCGTACGCCTCAAGATGTGAGCAAAGCCGGCGGGCCTCTTGGAGGCGAATCCAGCGCAGAAAGATGTGGACGCCTCGGCAGCCTAACTCGGTAGTCTGCTGCTTCCACGAAACCTATGTTTTGTTCAACTTTGAGCTCTTTCAAGGTCTTTCTTTTCCTACTTCCAGTTTTTAACGGCAAAAAAAAAATTCAAAGAGAAAAAAAGACTTACATGCCAAGTGGAGAAAAATAACACTAGAGTAAATCCATTATTGCAACTATGCTAAATATGCACGCATATAAATAAAGAGATGGGAAAATTAACAACCATGGATGCATTAAGGGGTATATGATCGATTTTCATTTTTACTTCGCTTGTCTGTGACTGTTTCCACGCCAGACTCCCCAACTTTTCAGAAAAATCCCTGTTTCCGATGACTCCTATTCTGTTTGGTTGTCTTAATCCGGGCCCTGGAAATTGCCTTTATCCTAAGTATCAGAGAAAGAAAGTCGTGCTGAGCCTTTGATGGAAGGAGAGAAGACTTTCTTAAAGGTGTAGGTTGTTTTGAATAGACTGTCAAATATTTAACTGCTTTTGAAAGTACCTTATAAGTGCCTCTCATTCCCCTCCACCCCCCATCAGAAGAGTAACTAAAGAGAGATGTTAGAAGAGTAACTTAAGAGAGATTCCGTTAGTCCACACAGTTTCAGAGCAAAGGACACACCTGAGGACTTGGCCGAGATTCCAAGGCTCCAAGGTGAGAGCACCGCATTCTCCAGCCCCTCAAATGGTGTCAGAACTCAGTCAGAATAAGTGTCCCCTTTTGCCTGGTTGACCCCAGTAGAAAATGGAGTCTTGGTTTGAAAGACAACCTTCCAACAGTTCCCCACCTCCCCACACTCAATATTGATACAAGTTCTTTTTAAAAATCCATCTTTTCTGTCCACATGCTGTTTGCTCCCAAATACCTTTCTCTGGAGAATAAACAGTTTAAAGGGAGGTAATCGTTCTGGATGAGGTAATTGCGCTAACTTGCTTTCTACCAAAGAAAATGAGGATGATAGGCAGAAAGATTGATCCCCTGATAAGCATATGTGCCATCCCTCTCCTGAGTGCCACCAGACATGTGAATGTCACTGGAAGGAATCGATTGTTTCCTACAGTCTTCTTGCAGCTCAATAAAATGTTTGAGACCTGGTCAAGACAACCAAGTTCTGAGGAAGGAATGCTTCAAAGCAAAGACTGATGTCTGGTGGCTAGGGACTTCCCTGAAGATCTCTTTAGAATCTTGGTAAATGAGGGTTTTGTCCGTTTACCTCTGAGAAGGTGAACTGAGAATTAATCTACCAAATATGCTTTACCTGTCTTCTCGAAAATAGTGATTCATCCTCTGACTTTCCTTATTCTTCAAGGCTATGTAGCGGTTCTATCACAAATGAGTATTAAAAAAAAAATAGTAAAGAAAAGAAAAAAAGAATTACTGACTATGTTTCCAAGATACTATTACAATATTACTATTGTCCCAGGAGGCAAGCAAAAGCTAAAACAGTTTTATTTTTTAAAAATCTAAGAAATAGATGAGCTAATATTAGGTTAATAATTCAAGTAAAATTGCAAAGACAGATGAGAGAGAAGGAAAAAAACTAAGAACCTTAGATTGCATACCTTGCTCAAGAAATAGATCTTTTATGTATATTATTTTTTTAGAGCAGAATCAAACCCTGGAAGGTAGGTGATATTATCCCTGTTTGGCAGATAAGGAAAATCAGACTGAGTATAGAAGTGATTTGCCCAGGGTCCCATAACTAAGGGGCTAAATAAACATCAAGAATGAGAAACCAACACTGAGCAATTCTAAACCCAACATGAAGGCTGAGATAGTGTCCATTCAATCAGGTTTTCCAGAGAGAGAGAGAGACATTCTACTTCATCCTCAGTACTATTTAACTAGTGAATTGGCAGAAGTCAAATCTTCAGCATTTACCTCACATGTTACATACCATGTATTAATTATACACCATGTAGTAATTATACACCCTGTATTAATCTAATTCTTGCTATTTTAAAACATGTATGAATTGTATTCCATTCCATTTAGACATATATCCATATCCATCACTACCCATGGTCATTGTATCTGGCCAAGGAGCAGAAGCTAGAATAGTAGAACTGGCCTGAGAATCAGGACTCCAAGGGTCTAGTCCCTGCACTGCCAGGGACGTTTTGTCTGGCCAGGGACAAGTCAACACCTCTCTCAACTTCTTCCTCTGTAAAATGAGAGTGTTTTACTAGGTGATTTTAAGATCGATTCTATTTAAGATACCTCATTTTCAACTCTAGTATGTTATGATTGTGAGTACTTGATGCAAACAAATTGGACTTAAGTCACCTTTTCTGGAACTGAGACAATTATGTTACATATGCGTTGTATTCTAGAGAGATTATTTTGGATTAGAGCCAACCTGTAAGTATTAGGTGTAATCAGGTAATATTAATTTAATGTATAGACTTAGTAAAGTGTTTTTCTCAATTCTTTGTTGTTTGAACTGACTACACTTGTTTTCTAACACGATATATATAAAGGTAAAGAGGTAGAAAGTTTCTATTTACATTGCCTTCTTTTTATTGAGATATAATTGACATAACGTTAGTTTCAGGAGTACAACACAATGATTCAATATTTGTATATATTGCAAAATGATCACACGATAAGTCAAGTTAACATTCATCACCACACATAGATATAAATTTTGTTTGTATGATGACAACTTTTAAGATTGACTCTCTTAGCAACTTTCAAATGTACATTATTAACTATGGTTAATAATAATAGTATTATTAACCATAGACACCATGCTGTACATTACTTCCCTAGGACTTATTCATTTTATCACTGGAAGTTTGTACCTTTTGACCACTTCCAACCACTTTGCCACACACATGCCCTACCGCCAATACCCTCCCTCTAGCAACCACCAACCTGTTTTCTGTATCTATGAGTTTTGTTGTTTTTCTGTTTTTGTTTTTGTTTTAGATTCCACATATAAGTGAGATCATACCGTTTTTGTCTTTTTCTACCTAACTTATTTCACTTAGCATAATGCCCTCAAGGTCCATCCATGTTGTCACAAATGGCACGACTTTCTTCTTTTTTCATTGCCTTTTGATCATTTCTAGCCAAGCTAGTCTCAAAAAAATAGAAAATATTTGAGTCAAGTCAAACTTAGCGGGGAGAGATAGAGATTGGGCATGGAGAGATATGTCTTTCTAAATATAATGAATTGTTTTTAAGTGGTTTACTATAATCCCTTAGGAAAAGCTGTGTATTTGCCTGAAAAAAAAAAGAAAAACATTTTAATGATTTATCCAAACTGTTTGGTATAAGTAGTAAAACTCCAAGAAAATCTAAAGATGGTAGAAATATTTTACATGAATAAGGGGGAAGAATTTGTTGTTCTAGTAGATGCAGAAGGAAGAGAGTAGAAAGCTATGCTTGCCAAGATGTGGCCTTTCTCCTTGGTGTTCAAATCACGATTAAGGTTATGGAGGCAAGTGAATTCTTTATGAAAAATGGTGACGTGATTGTAATTTGAATCTAGATTACTAAAGACAAAACAGACACCCAGAAGAGAGAGAGAGAGAACCTTAAACGTGAAAGATTTCAGAAAGTATGGAGAAATTTTGGACTGCTTTAAACAACAGAACTGGATCCTTTTAGGAGAAGGGGGTGCCTCATTTAAAATCTGGACAAAAGCAAGGTGTCAGAAGTCAGTGAGATCAAGATCACTGATAATAGAACACAACTGTAGCTGAAAAGGAAAGGAGATGGACTTAGGAACATTAAATGAAGACTTAGGGGAAAAGGGCTGAGAAGATTTCACGATGCATTTGTGCACCATACTTTTAGTTAACTTTCTGGACTGAACCAACAGTTTTAGCTATAACCATTGTAAGAATCTTTCTTCTTCTTGGGCCTTTTTAAGCTACACATAGTTCCTTTCCTAGGCATGGATTGTAGAGAAGCAATCTTCCCATACGGGGGATGCTAACTAACATTGTAGCTTTTCCTCCTCCTTGAACCTGATTACTACCTATGAATACCCAACTAACAATTTCTAGCTCTGCCACTGCTGGATGTTTCTGATAAAAGCCACTGTCTGTATTAATCATGCAATTATGATAATAAATAGGGAAGATGAAAAATCAAATGGACAAAAGGACAACAGCTGGCAACTTCAATTGATGTAGTTGGCCATACAATTAAATGAGATATTCTACAAGGGATATTTCCATTGGGAATATACTCTGTGCCAGTCATTTCTCAAGGAAGGTCTTGTTTAATCAGAGCAGCACATTTCAGCAATGCATGTGACTTACAGAGAGTGTGCTGAATTTTACTCACCACTGTGTGCTCATAGCTCCGCTCATGATTCATGAACCTGCTGGAAACAGAGGGTGGAAAAAACTATGTTAAAAGCTCAGGAACTGTGAGTGCTTTACATTCAATGTTCTATCTGTGTACAATAATCCAGGTTAACAACCTTCCCTGTTAAAGGAGATATGGGATCATTTGTTAAGTAAACTCTCTCCCACACAAAATTAGAGAAGTCTATTTTAGGTATTGGGCTATGAAGACGCAATAAAGAGCAAAAATCCAATACATTTGTTTAGAAAGGGCAGCAGGGCACCAAGAT